ACTGTTTTTTTGGGTTTAGAAAGTCCTGGAACAAAAGACAAAAAAGAATAGGCGAAAGGACTACATGACAGGGTGGACAGGGAATCAGGGAGAGAAAAGGGTTAAGGTTATTAGGGAGTGTGAGTGGTGGTCACTTGCATTGATTGGCCGGTTTGGATTAGCCAGGAGGAGTCTTTGCGGTGGTCTTATGGGGCGGGGGGTAGTCCAGTCAGTCAAGGGTTGTCACACGGTGATTTCACTTACCACCCTCCCTCCCTTGTCTTTATGGATAGGTCTGTTTAGGCAATGTCTGTCCAAGTGGTCAAGCCTCCGGTTTGGCTCGTTGTCGGTACGCAGTCCTGGGTGCTTGCGGGTTCAGCAGAGAGAGGTCGAAGAGTGATGGTAGGAGGTTTCTGTTGTTATGTACTATGTTGTCCCTGAGTTGGTGAGTTGCGGCTAGGGGCCAGTTGTTTAAGTGGTATTCAGAGATATACGGAAGGAGAGTAATGGTGCCTCCACAGACCTCAGGGTACGTTCACACCATATGCAGTGCGTTCTGGCCTGATTCCCCCAGCCCACAGTGCGATCGCCCGCACCTGGAACGCAGGCACATTAGTGTCTGCATTCCGGTCCAGTGCGATCTGCAAAAATAGTGTTCGCAGCATTTTTGCAGATCGCACTGGACTGGAACGGGTGCGGGCAATCGCACTGTGGGCGAGGGGCCTGCCTGCGGTGCCATTGACTTCAATGCACCGCCACACCCCCTCACGTCCCTGAATGCAGGTTTTTTTTCGTTGGTAGATCTCATTGAGCTCGTCATTTGAAAAGTAGATCTCCAGACGAAAAATTGTGGGCGCCCCTGCTGTAGAGACACACACAGCTTACTAGCACACACAAGGGGGGCTCCATAGGACCCTGCAAGGGAAAGGAGCCACTCTAAAATAGGATATCAACCAGCTGATTCTGTAAAAGACTAAAGTTTTAAACATCAAAGTGCAGCATCCATTGTAAGCGATTTCATCTGCATGTGAAATAGCTTAAAAACCTTTTGACTTTAAAATGCCTGTAAGCAGGGCTGAACCTACGAGGCAGCATCTCTCTGGGTCACATGGGTGATGTGGCAGGCAGAGCAGACGCATGCACTATTTTGTTTGGACGGGACCGCAGGCATATTGTGCCTTGCGTTCCCGTGCGGCTGATCGCATTGCGGGCCGGAGGGCATGGCTACGGTGCCATTCACTTCAATGGACTGCCACGCCCCCTCCTGCCCCACAACATACTGAGCTGCAGTGCAATGCAATGCAGTGCGTTCTGACCAGAATCGGGTGATTGGAAATCTAACATTTTAGAGTTCTCCCAGGAATAGGAGGTGAGGGGAAATCTTTCAATGGGGACAATTGTTCCAGAGATAACTGTTTAAGAGGGGAGTAATTTTGGAGTAATTTTCTCTTACTTGTTGTGGCTCCGGCAGGAAATAAAGGGAAATCACCCAGTTGGAATTCAGACTGAACC